ATCCCACATCATCGACTTTCCCATGAACTTATTCTCTTACAAGTCCCTTCCTGTTCTGCATACATACTGTACTATATGGTACTGCAGCCTGGAGGGATATTATGACTTGCTCTGCTTATCCACAAAATGCACTTTAACATACAGCGTGAGCTTTGTGTCTAAGGAAGTTATTTTCATACGTCAGAATGAAAAATGAAGTTTGTGTGCGTGTTTCTAGCATGTATAAAATATATTAAAAAGTGTGCTGTTGCTGTCAGTACAGTACCAGGATGTAAATGTTATAACAGCAATAACTTGAGGGGTAAATATATGACAAATATATTTAGGAGGTTTGCCCCCTACTGGAGGACGCATTTTTTCTTCATGTTCGCATGGGGGGGGATGAGTGATGCATATTCCATTTCCCTCCTTTCATCCTTCGTTTACTTTGATCAGAAAGTTAGAGCAGTCAAACTCCTTTATTGCCTCTGCTGCAAGAATGCTACAGGGGGTAAACAGAGAGCTGTCTAAGGATGAAAACGCAGCAGAGGCAAGCAGATACGCACACAAGTTGACGCGCAAACTGACCCGCTGGCACACGCGCAAGTTGACAAGCATAAAAGCAGACTGACAGAGTGGCTCACACGCAGAGAAACAGGCGAAAGAACTGCAAAAGAAGCCCAAATATACAAGAAAATTAGGATAGACAAGACTTCTTTTAGGAACATTTCACAGCGTAAGGTCCTGATGCAAAGTAAGAGGATATGTTATGGCATTAGAGAGTGTTTTAACATCTGCATATTAAAAATGTACAAAGAGTTCTTTCGGATTACAGAAATAATGACACAAAGAGTCCCCCCCCCCCCCCCTCCGAGGTCTTCCAGCTCAGGGTGCAGAGGGGAAGACGTTGTAAAATCTCTGAAACGCTTGTGAGGCTGCCTTAATTGGGGCCAAATCTCAACAAAATCTTGTCATGTTCTCAGACCCTTAGGTGCATTTAGATAAAAGCACACAGCAAGTGGCATATCTAACTAAGAAGAGAGCGGGAGAGGGTAGAAGGAGAAAAGCGCGAGACTTGCTTTCTCGATTCTTCGCTGCCGCTTGGAGAATGGCTGTGTACAAAGAGCTCGACATATATCATACGCCTCTGATGTGTTTATGTACACATAAATATGCTTAAACTCTTTCATACTATTATTTCTTTCCATCCTTACTCCTTCAGAGTCTCTTCAGTGAGTCAGCTTATCAGATCTAAATCCTTTTCTATCCTTCAGTAAATCTAATTAGGTTCAGTTTTAATATACGTATGTATTAAAAATCTTACAGTCGTCTAAAAAGATTCAGAGGCAATCTTTAATCATCTTTTGATGATTGAGATATAAAAGTTTTTAGTGGCAGCAGAATTAAATTGTTGCTACAACCTGCAAATTACATTAGGTATTAAATATTGATCAAATATGTCTGACTGAGTGAACACAGGTTTAGCCTACTTAGTTTTTCACACCTTAAATTAAAGCTCTTTTGTTGGAGTACACAATTCAGAGCTATTTTGTTGACTAGCATAAATTGTTGTTATATGAATGGAAAGTACAACTGTGGTGGAAAAAGTATTCAGGTCCTTTACGTAAAAGTACTATGGTCTTAAATACTCAATTCCAAGTAAGAATCCTGAATTGAAACTATTGCTATACTTATAGTACAATAATGAGTAAACGTACTTGGTGTCATTGCACTACTGTAACTGTAAGACTCCACATTTGCCATGGAGTGGTGGTACATTTTCCAACAATCTCTGGCTAAGTACGGACACCTGGTTGCAGAGTGCACCGGCAAAAGCCAAAAGTTATTATTGGTAATAAGTTTGTAATAAGTGTGATGTTTGTCATTTCAAAGGATGATAGCGATTATCAATGTCAGCTAAAAATGCGGAGCTAACTTTATCTGACTGTTTCCTACATTGCTCTTTTCAAATAAAAGAAAACGCTTCAGGACCAAGGCAAAAAAAGTCTCTCCACCTCCTCCCTCTCAACACCAGCTTCCAATTTGTAGCCTTTGTGTACATTACAGCAGTGAGATTAGCGCCCCCCCCCCTCCTTCTGCCCTCCTCTGATCAGGCCTGCACTCGGACATCTGTCCAAGGATATTTACCCAGGCAGTAAGTATGTTAGGGGAAATATTATCCTAGTTTTACCTTACCTTTCTTCTGTCTGAAGCATAAACAGCAGCATTGCGAGGTGGGGATGGGAGAAGGAGAGGCAAGAAGGAGAACAAAATGAAGGAGAAAAGGTAAGACCTGAGAGAGTAAAGGATGATGGGTGGGAAGGGGTGAGGAGACAGCAGGAGGGGGAACAAGGGAGGGATGAATTGAATTAGAATCGATATATAGGGGGATGAAAAAGGGAAACTTGTGGGAACAAAGTTCAGTAAAGGAATGGAGTGTGGAGGAGAGGAAATATTAGAGGAGAGAGAAGATACATTCAGAAGTATCTATAACACAGTCTCTTAAAAAAAAGTCTTTAAGTGACAGTTAATCAACCCTGACATCACTTCTCAATCATTTCGCACAATACGTCTCTTGAGAATCACTTTAAAATGTCACCCTTGTCCTTTTTTCGGTCATCGCGGAGCCCTTAATAAGATATAAGTACCATTCTGAATTTTAAGGACTTCATTTCTCAAGGTTAAAACTTTTGTCCCCTTTAATCTACTGAGAAATGATTTCCTCTTCCAAAAATGTCTTTATAAGAATATGTAAAACTTAGAACTTCAGGGTCATTGTCCAAGAAGTCTAGACGGCTTTCTTTATAGTCTGTTAAAAATCAATACACAGTTTACATGCATGCCTGTCTGCTGCTTGGCATATACATAGACAGGCACACAGATGCCTACCAGGCAAACACATACACATCTCTTCTTTTTTTCATGTTATCTCTCACACACTCACAGGCCTCTTCCTGTCTGGTGTTGCTTCGAGCCTAAAACCAAACCATGTGTGGGAGCTATCCTGTGCTAAACTGTATGCCCTACTGGTGAAAGGTCCCTCGACTAGGAAAAAAGAAAGCTGGAAAGATATTTACTGGCCGTCTCCCTGCTCTCCCTCGGTCTCTCTTTGTGACTCTCTGTGTGCTTTTGACAGAAGTGTCTCTCCCCCGCTTGCCTGTCTTTCTGTTTCACTCTATTAGCCTGCCTGCTGTTATCTGCAGTTCTTATGCATACCCCTTTCTCTCTCTGTATGTCTGTCTGTCTGTCTGTCTGTCTGTCTGTCTTTCCCTTGAACTGTTTTTGTCAGCCCCCCCCCCCCCGACCCAACTTCACATCTCCCTCCCTCCCGCTCCACCACCAACCACGCATGAAAACGGTGCTCCATTAGGAGTGCCTGGGCTAAGCCTGGTCTGACACACACTGCTTTGATCAGCCATGAGCTGGGCTAAACACCCCGCTAAACTCCCAGTCAGAGGAGGTGTGGGGGGGGTAGAAGGGGGGCTTAACAGGGAGAGTGAAAAGTAGCGAAAGTAAGCGTGAGATGGGACCATGGGAAGATCAAACCTCAGAAAAGAGATGGAGATGGGGACACAGTAAAGAGGGGAAACGCATAGACTGAAGAAATGAGCTCAATTTCCCGAGCTGTCCCAAAGCTACGTTCCCTCAGCACTCTCGTCTTTTATCACATCTCTTTTTCACCACACAGTTTCCATTCTCTCGCCTTCACTCCTATATTTCTCCAGGTAGCCTCCAAAGTGCATCATTAACTAGCTCTGCAGGTGCATAACTCAGGATGATGAGAGGATTGGGGAAACACGATCAGAGCAGATGTCTGAAATATTGGAAAGTCCCCTTTCTCATAGGGCAACTTGGCTGTCTTGCACACACATGTTGTCTAGGAGTAAAAACATGAGAGAGGAAAAGACAACCCCCAGAGAGAGAAGATATATAGACACCAGACCTCCATAACTGACAACAGTAAAAAAGAGCTTTCCACATTCAGGCAGGCAGATACTAAACCAGCAAAAGGACAAAAAGCTCCCGTCTTTTTCTCCCGAGGAGTGAAGAGAAAAGGGATTTCCGCTCGGTGCTAATCAATCAGGCCGTGATAATGGCTCCCATGCCTAGCTGTCGACTGGAGGGGTCAAGGCATCCCGTGACCCAGCGCCCAGGGCCCAGGGGCCAAAGCCCCTCTCAGAATAGCACCCCAGGACAGACTCCCCGGGCTAATTGTCCAAGCCAGTGTCAGCCTTTTCAATACCCCCCCTTAACCCTCCCCTCCTTCCACTTTCTCCTTCATTCCTCTCTCTTTCTTCTCCCCTTCCCTCCCCTCCTTAGCGATCCTCTCTCCTTCTATGCAACTGAGGAATCCACTATGTATACCGGCATGTACCAGCGTGGGGGAAAGAATGAGATAGAGAGTTGGATGAAGAAAAAAGGAGACGGGGAGAAATAGAGGGAGCTGCCGGCAAAGTTAATGAAAAGAGAGGGACAGGTGAAGTGGCAGAAAGTGAAAAAGGAGGATAAAAGAGAAACAGAAGAGATAAGGAGGAGGAGAGGCAGCAAACTGTCCCCCTTTCCCTTTGACACATCACTCACTCATATCCCTCGAACAGAGTGCCCTGGTCATCTGCATATCAATGAGCGTCTATTTAACACTGGCAGAGCAGCGTGCGTCTCTCAGGGACTCAACATCAGCAAGGCTGACCACCACGATGCAGCCGGCATGCAATACACACAAAAAAAGACACAGAGGACACGGGAGAGGGCGAGGGTCCTGAAGCAAACCCCGCTCCAGCTCAGAGCAATGGCATTCCTCTCATTCCAGGCGCACGCTGCTAATTAACGGCATTAGATCCTGCAGACAGAGGGACATATTGATGGAGAGGTATCCCAATGTGGTACTACAGCGCCACATCTACGCTCTCTTCTGTCACCTTTGCTCATTCTTTAGCCCCCCTCACAGTGCCATCATCTATCCCACTCGCTGAAGAAGTCCCAAAAATCACAATAAGAAAGATATAAAGATCACTACTCACTCCTTTTTTTCTGTGTTTCTTTTTTTTTCCTGATGTGTCACTCCTTATCCTCTTCTCCACTGTAGCAAGGGGGGAGTGTGTCAATCCTGCCGCGCGTGTTAGTGTCAGTCCGATAGAGGAAAGTTGCCGTCTGCGCGCATGTGTGTGTGTATGCGTGCGTGCATATGTGAAAGAGAGAGGGAGAACGTGTGCGTCTGACTCTGTGTCTCGCACTGCTCCAAGTGAGCGAGCTGAGGCTGTTTTAAACAGGCTGCTCTCCCCATGTGACCAGCCCAGCCACAGGCAGGAATACATTACTGAGACACACACACACTCTCTCTCTCCCTTCTCTCTCTCTCCTGCCCATACACACACCGTGTCCACAGTGCACCCCCTAGCCACCGCTCAGGGTAGTGGAGAGAACAGCCCACACACACACACACACACACACAGAAATCAAGCTTTTACACAAAAGTCCCTAGTTTGTATGTGAACAAACACCTTGTATGGACATATTTTGCCAGACTTACACAGCTTCCCTACAAAAGGAATAAATAAATCTAATAGAATTAGAGACAATTCTTCCAATTAAATACTTTTTCAATGTCTTTTGACTTTTCCATCTCGGCTGTGGTGGTGCTTCACACCTGGTAGAGCTGACCTTTTCAGTAATGAAAACCTTTTAAAAGTCGACCTTCAGCTGCCAGGCTGATACGATTGCATTACAGCTATTACACCTTGAGGAAAGGCGATGGAAAACGCCACAGATGAAGTGCTTCGAGTGGGAGCTATGAATGAAATTCAAAAAAAGCTGTTCGTATTCTTAAAGTATTTAAAACCAGTGCACAACATTATAGTGGGAATATAGAAGATGATGGATTGAGAAAGGAATATTCATGGGAGATACATCGAGAGAGGGCCAAGGCTACAAAACACCACAGACGCGTCATCTTTCTTTTATAACAAATGCGGCCAGTACAGCATGTACAATGGATAGGTGATCAGCTCCTGACACATTTATCATTTAATGTCCAGGAACTTTCAGCACCATATTGCTCTTGAGAACCTTGGACTGAAATGAATGGCTATTCTGGAAGTGATTTATTATCACAATAATACCCGAGAGGCCAGCTTTTTCCTATGATTACGAACACCATTCGCAACAGCAGTTTAACGCGGCACCTCCTAATGTCGACACATCCAGGCCTGAGGCGTGCGTGTTCCGGAGTCCGTACAAAGCTATTTGATTCACCGGTTTAATCTGAACTGGCTATGTGAACTGCATGGTTAACTGCTGCTTTTTTCCCCCCGTCATCTTTTTTTAATCCATTACACAACCTGGTTTATCTAGCCGACACAGGCACGTTTAAACGGGAAGTATTTGGGGGGTTTACCCATCACTTATAAAGAAAATGATGCCATGTTTTACTAAGTTTAGATCTGCAAATGAGGCAAAATGACAAAAAAACAAAACATGAGCTGTCAGACAAAAATAACTTGAACATAAGGTGAATATTAAGGTTTCTAAACAGCCATCCGACTCCGACTCTGTCTTTTTTGCCACTTTTCTTACTCAGAAGTAAGTATTAAGCACTATATATATCATAACTGATGAAAATGAGTGCCAAAAGTATGATATTTTCCTTGAAAATGCACACTGCCAAAAAAGAAGAACACAACCAGTGATAATAATAGGGTGAAAACATTCACCGGAAAACAAATCCATAACACATCTCATTACCGAGCATGGCAACAACTACTTATGTCACCTTATTTGAAGAATGTACTTCTGTGTGCAATATTTTATTACCCTTGTCTGAGGCTGTCTGTCTACAGATGGTCTCCCTTTGGTAATAAAAGTCATTATCACTATTTCCCACACTCTTTTCTCGACATGTCTAAAATGCAGGGTCTGATATTGCAAATTGCAGCATCAACAAATTGGCCTAATAATATATTATTATCAGGAAACATAATGATGCATGCTCCACCCACACAGGTGTTTTCACATACTGCGCCTAGTCTAATGTGAAAACACCTAATGATGAAAATAAAAAAAATGGCACTTGTGAAGAGAAAATTATAAAAAAATTATAGATAATTAATTTGTCGTAAAAGGTCATGGTAAATGGACTGTACTTAAATAGCGCTTTATCAGGTCTATTTAACATAACACAAGTAATTCAGAGGTTAGAGGTATGAGCTTTCTCTGCCTTTTTGCTTTAATGTAATGTTACAGGACCCTATAATAATTTAATACTTATGATCGCACTTGTATTCATATGTATGTAATTGAATGTGTATCATGGGCTATGAAACAAAAATGTATCTCTTTATCAATTATATGACCTCTGCACAATACTGATTTAGTAGGCAGTATATAAGTACCCTATATGTGAATATTATGGACCGCTTATTAAAGGAACTGAGGTTTTATCATGTTACCGGTCATGTTGAGATCATCTTGTTCACTGCAGAAAGCAGGAGCATAACAAAGAGTAGCACATCCTCTTGTAGAGAAGAGATATGACCCTGAATCTCACTCAGACATAATTGAACATAACTGCACAACAACAAATGTTAAGGGTCAACAAAGTGACTGGCAGTATGAAGCTGAAAGAGGCTTGTGCTTTTCAATGTCTCAAAACAAAACTGCATCACAAACTGCGTCATGTTTGGGAACACGCAGTCAAAAGTTTAAAAAAATACATTACTCAAGTATTGTAGCTACTTTATACTTCTACTCCACTATATTTTGTCTAAACGTTGTACTTGTTACTCCAATACATTTATTTCACCGCTTTAGTTACTTGCTACTTTGCAAATTATAAATACAAAATATAAATCATCTAATAGAATAGTATACGATTATAGGTCAAGCTACCCAGTAGTGTATACATTCATTCAAATAAAGCCCACTTTTACCAAGTGCAACATTGAAGTGAACACATTAAAGGGGACCTATCATGCAAAATACACTTGTGTACGTCTTTTATACATGAATATGTGTCCCCGGTGTTCCAGGGAACTCACCTAGTGTCAGAAAACACAACCCTCTCTATTTTCCTCCATACCCAAATCTCTAAAAAAGGGGCTGCAACGGATCTGATACAGACTGATCCAGATTTGAACACTTCTATGTCGTCACAGAAGTGGCGCTACGGCTATTGGGCCAACTCTCCACCTATCAGGGGAATGTGGGGTTGGGCCACGGCCGGCCATTGCCGCTCGAAAGCGCTGGAGACGCTGTAGTACATATGCCAGGCCTGTAAGTGGCGCTGTAGTCTGCCACAAAAGCAGCGAAGAAGACTTCCCGCCCATAGTTACCATGGTTACCCTTCTGTTTATTCTCCGCTGTGGCTTTTTTTCTCCCTCCCCGAGGCAAGCGTTTGCTCCCGCTGCTTTAATTCAATGCAATCCCTCCCCGTCGAGGCAAGCACTGTAATTCTCTCCGGTTAGTCCACCAGCAGATGACAAACACCCACCTCTCCGCCTCTTCCAAGGAACGAGGGGACCGTGCGGGCAGAGTTTCAGTTTCAGTTTGTTTCGCCGGTCAAGATGTCCGTTAAAGTTTAAATCTTCCGGACAAAATTAGAAAAGTGCCGGTCAAAGGTCTTCTTTGTTATTTATTGAGCTTTAAAACAAATGAATAACGACTCTATATAATAAAACGGAGGACGGAGATCTCTTTTTCTCCCCCTCTTCTGACAGCCCAGCAGCTGATCAGAGCATGGCTACCCTCTCCTGCAGGGGGGCGTGGTCAGCAGAATCAGACCCGTAGACAGCAAACAGCACATAGAGCGAAATGAGGCATGGCTAAAATGCATGATCTGTTTGGTATTTTGAAAACAGAAACGTATAAATATACCTTATATAGGTATGGCCCTACAATATATCATTTAAATATAGCATGATAGGTCCACTTTAAATAATCAATAATTATAATACAATAATTAAAATAAATATATGGTGCTTAAATGGGTCATTCTGCAGAAGGAGTACTTTTCTCTTTGGTACTTATAATACTCTTTTACTTAAGTACACCTTTGAGTGCAGGACTTTTTGCTGAGTATGTTATACTATTTATTTAGAAGTAATCTGTGTAATTGTTCCACCTCTGGTAGACGACAACAAGGAGGGATAACCACACGGAAAGCTGTTCATGCCCAACCGAAACTAACATTAGCAAAAAAACTACTAGTGAAACAAAGGATATACAGTATGTGCACACTTGAAAGTATTCCAGCTAGCTTGAACGACAGCACATACCGTGACAGTGCATTACGCATGTGTGCGCAAATCCACTTAACGACACAATGACACAACAACATCACATTATTCTTACTCACCATTAAAATAACCGAAGTTGGCAGTCCCAGGATAATATCCTCCCAGCTTCTTGCATTGGTCAGCTTGCAGTATAACGGTCCGGGTTTGAAGCACGGTTCCTCTGTGTTACTTTAAAAAGAGGAAAATAATTGTCAGTCAATGTGTTAAACGCAGCTGCTAATTGACGCCTAGGGCAATGCTAACTACAAGCTAAAAAATAAATATAGCGACTAACTTGACCAACCAGTTTGTGTACTAAGCACTAAAAAATGATATATGTTTTAAACTTGTGTGACGTTATTACCATAGACTGTATATATAAAGGTTATTACCTAGCCAATATATTGTGTCAGGGCAGTGGTGACAGCCAGGCAGTACAGCAGAGACAGCCGGTGGCGGTGGAGAACTGTATCTGCAACCAAAAACATGTTAGCAAGCAGTAGCAACGACGTTAGCTTTTAGTAAACAACGTTAGCTAGCCTATAAATGTAATGCATGTGCACTTCTGTCGAATTGTTTGCATAGTTTTCCTCACTTTGAATAGTGCTTTTTGACAGCAGCTGCGTCATAGTTCTTGTTCGCAACTTCTGGGAGGAAACTTCGCAAACTTTGCAGGTGGACCCACTTCCTGTCGAAAGAATATTGATGAGTATCAAAATAATAATATTTCAATATAAAGTTCTGTTCTGGCCTCTTTTTTAAACATTTAAAATAAATATGTATTATGATTTTAGCTAAATGTTACAATGCATTTAGTTTTAAAGGAAACACAGCCAGTTTTCCCAAATTGAGTAATATTTTTGCATTCAAATAAGCAAAAACAACCATGTTGTTACAGACTAGGACTAAAGTTGTCATTCCTTGCTGCAGCTGTATCCAGAATGTGAATTAGCGCAAAACAAAATCAGCATCTGACTGGCAGAATTTACTACATTTACTCAGCT